ACTTTGTGCTGGCCTGCGAGAAGGCGGTGTGCGGCACGCACGCGGTGCTGCGGGAGACGATCCAGTACTACGCCCGACGCGCCGCCGCTGCCGCCGCCGGGGGCAGCTCGACTGCAGTCGCGCCGGAGAAGGCGGGCACCTACCCGGAACTCAAGATCATCCCCAGCAAGGGCCTCATCGAACACCCGCCCCTCCTCTTCCGCGCCGAAGACATCAAATAAACGCCAGCACGCGCCCACCAACGATGACGGGGCGACCCTTTATTCTTTTTTCATTATTCTTTTTTCATTTCGTAAAAAAAAAACCAGGAAGGAGGAAGACCATCAAAGAAAGAAAAAACAAAAAAAGAGCAAATAACAAGCAAGATGGTGGAGCTCACGTGGCTTTGGGGTGGCCATGTTCTTCTTGGGGTCCATTACAGGGGATTGGCGGCTCCAGCAACAGGCAGTGGCAGGAAGCTCCTGCCACCTGAAGTCATCGCCCCCATCATGCCCATCTGGAACAACTTGACCTGCAGCCCACCACCGTGCTCGCTGACATGCTTGCCGCCCACAACGAAAAGAACAGTGATCCCACTCATCCCTCGCTTCCTCTCTGCCTCTCCTCCGTTCTGCCCACTACTATTTCTTTCAGACTATTCCATTGCTTTTGTGCTGCGGGGCTCTCATGAGCAGCAGGTGAATGCGATAAGGGCATGATCAGTGACTTCCTCCTACAGGCTGATAAACATTTTTATTTATTTCCTGTGGTGTGCGTGGATGGAAAAAGCCAGGTTCAGCAATTCTGGTTTTCCAGAACTGGGTGAAGAGCAGTCCACTGACCATACACTGGGACAACCTTGTTAAACGCCTGTGGCGCCTAAGAGCGCCTAGATGTGCAAAGTTGCCCCACAGCACAACTCCATCCTGCATGCTGTCAGCTACTGGTTGTTTTTCAGCACCACATCCTCAAAAATGCTAACATACATGCCAAGTTCAAAGATGCACCTTGAGGTCAATGCCTTCTGCCTGTTGGAACAAAGAGCACAGCCCTCCTTTTGTCACTGCCAACAGAGGGACAAGTCTGGCAAGACTGCCAAGTGCAATACCAATGACATGCTGGCTGTGCTCTAGAGCACTGCTACAAGGCCCCCACTCAGCAAGCCCCCTCTACTTGGCACCAAGCAGGGTGGCTTGGGCCTCTTTGGCCAATGTGGATCCAGCATGTGCCCAGATGCTTCCCCCTTCATGGATCACCTGTGGGCCATGCTGTTCAAGGTTGATGATGCCACCTTTTGCCAAGCTGCAGACCAACAACTACCTGTCCCTCTACAGCCTCTCACATCCTCTGCAGTCCACTCACCCTGCCAACCACCCAGTGCAGTGCACCTTTGCCCTTTGCACATCCCACAAAGATACCACCACCCACTAGTGGGTGACCACAGCAGAGGAGTTTCATGGCCTCAGTGCTGTACACACAACTGTGCTTGTCACTGCACAAGACAGGCAGCAGGGTCTTTCCATCAGCCACTGCCAAGTCTTGCCCCTGCAGATGTGCTGTTGCACTGTGGATATCACACCAAGGCTCACTGTAGTGCTGCACTGCACAGCTGACAACACTCCCTGCCACCTCACCCACATGTGACCTCAGGTGCCAAGAAGAGCAACAGCCTCTCAACCCACAGCAACAAGTCCAGCATGCTGCCCCCATTCATGCCAACTGCTCTCCCAAGAGCACCAGTCTCAGGCGCCAAAGCTGCCCCCCTTCCCCAATCCCAGGTGGGACAAGGCCCACTGACAGGGAGGGCATCAGCCCTTTCAGGGAGGTGGATCACCAATCACCTGTGTGCAGGCCAGCAGTGCACTTCACACACCATGGCACATGCTTTCTCCATGGCACACTACTTGCATGCAATCTTGACCACAACCAAACCACAAGATTCATGCAGCAATAAAAACTGTGTGCAAGCACCAGTACTGACATAGAGCACAGCCAGGGATCATCATAAGAAGTGAGTATTTTGAAGTGTTGTCCAGCCTCACCACATTGATGCCACCCCAGTACTGAGTGTTTGTTGATCACCATGGGTGATATGAAGAGGTAGTGTGATAGCAGGAGATAGTGGGAACCAATAAGAGTAGGGAGCTGCATCTGCAGCTTTATTTGACTGTGAGGTGGGTGCTGAGAGAAGACACCAAAGAGAGGCCCAGTTATCTGTAACCAAGTGTTAATGAAAAAGGGTAAGTGACCCTTTTTGCTTAGCACAAAAATCAAGTATCTGTACAAAAAAGGCCACCATTTGGCTGTTTTTCATGAGGTTGGTGTACAGATCAAGGAAAGCTTGGGCATCATTTTCAGAAAATGTACAGAAGTGGAGGATGTTATTGAAGAAGGAATGACAAAGGCAGAATCCCTTTTTATGTACAGATTTCCCATCCAACACACATCAGATGGCAATTTTGCCGAAATTTTTGTGAACACTTGGTTCTGTCTCCCAGGGCAAGGTATCAAGAAAGCCAAGGGATCAGGCCTGTGGGGATAAAGAGGCAGGTTGGAAAAGGAAAGGAAGGCTGGAGAAAAGAACAATCCAGACCTCTCCAGAAGAGTGAGGATTCAACTCAATGCTCTTCATGCAGCCAGTTGACATCCTTCTGTTCCAGATCACAGAGCAAGAGTCATGAAGTCTCCCCCTCCACCAAAGACTCTGGCAGCAGTCTACTGGTGGCCAGATCTGTCTGACCAGTCCATCAATGAGATGTAAGTGCTGGCAATGTGCCACAACATCAAGGGTGAGTGCTGTGTGACAATGATGTTCTGGGACCAGGTCTTACTTCCCTTCTGAACTTGTGGTCATTTGAAATGAGAGGTCCAGTCATTTTGAAAAGTGATTTTGTTTGTGAGTTTAAGCTCATAAAAATAACACAAAAATGGTTTTATTTTAACAATAACATGACAAAATTGGATGCATCTTGAGATATGGCAGATCAAAATTCCATCATAATGAGAGATGTGATACTGTAACTGGGCCAGCAGTCAAAGTCAAATTAGTTTGGTGTGGTTGGCATAATGTGAGGATTACTGGGGTAGCCAGTGTTCTTTATTTTATTGGCATGGTGGCGATTGTCCATGAGCACATGCCACTGGGATCAGCACAGGCTGAACCAGATGATGGGTTACACCAATCCAAATAGACATGGTATGACTGCTCTCTGAATCAAGGCTCATGTGTTTGATTACTAACCTGTCTCACCACACAGACTGCTTTGCTGCTGTCCTGACAACCAATGTGCTGGAAATGGCAGCTCTTCTCAACCTCCTTGCCAACGAGAATAGCCCCTGGCAGCTTCTGCATCTCATCTCAGGGAGCATCCCCAACATCCACTCCAAGAGCGCTGGTGGGGTCCAACACAATGGTACATTGCATCACATACACATACACAATGACTTATTGCTCTTCTTACCCCTTCCACAGCTTACTCCTTTTTAGAAACAAGTGGCAAGTGGATGCATCAATGGAGATGTCACACAGGACAATGTCAACTAGCTTGGGATTTGTGTGAGTGACCTGGAGCTGTTCAATGCACTTGCAGAGGAGCTTCTGGTCAGATCTGGTTTCATCATGTGTTCATGCTGGTTCAAAAGGTTCTTCTGCCAAGTCAGTGGATTTCCTCTTGCCTTTGTGTATGTGTATGTGATAAAAATAATGGAGCATATATCAACTACAATTCATTGTGTATGTGTATGTGATGAAAGAACTATGCAAAAGGAGAACATACCCACTCTCCAGTAGCCACCTTGTTCTTGAGGTGGATGAAGTCCCTATCCATGAGGTGTGTAGCCACCTTTCTCACCTTGCTCAGGAACTTGACATGTCTCTGGCAGGCAATGAGGAGCTCCTTGAAGGCTGGAAGAGAGTACAGTAAGCACAATGGGATAGTTATAAGAAATACTGGTGGGGAGCATACCGTTCTTGCTGATCTTGTACTTGTTGCCTGCTTGGATCTGCTTGTGCTGTTTGGTTGAGATGTGCTTGAGGACATGAAGCAGAATTGGATTGGAAATTGAGTGATTGTGAAGATAGAGCGATTGGCATGGGTTCTTTGGATTCAGCATACAAATTCTTGAGGTAGGTGGCACTCTTGGGCCAACTGTTGATGTTGAGGAACTTCTTCATGATGCTGGTGTAGTTGTGCAGATTTTCTTGTAGCTTCCTCTGTTCTGCCTTGTTGAGCTTCTGAGCCTCAGGCTGCATGAAATAGTGGAGTTAGAAAGTGTTTGGAAGTTTGTAATTTTCTGTTGTGTATGTGTATGTGATGAAATCTTATTAGCATATATAGACACAATTTCATTGTGTACACGTATGTGATGAAATATCATTGTAAATATACAATACAACTAATTTATGCCATCCTTTCATTTTGTGGTGTTGTCTCATCATAATAACAGTTGTTTCATTATACTCCATATTTCCATTCTATTCAACAATATTGACTCTTATAATCAATTATAACCACCATTTTATATAAGTAATATATCACATACACATACACAATAGAACAACTGATATATTCTCATCAATGAAGCTCATTCTTGACTCTCAGCAGACCATACCTGAGACTCAAGAGCAAGAAGCTGAAAAAAATAGCACCACTGGAGCCAGCTCCACCATGGAGATGTCACAAGATTTGCTCAGAGCACCTGAGGTCAGTGTGTTTGATTTCAAATGAAATGTAGTCCTCATTAGTCCTTCCCCTGTGTCAGTATTGATATCATCAACAATCTGCTTGAATGAGTCAGAGCCACCTTTGTGCAGCTCATGTCAGCTGCCACACCAGATGCAAATGCATGCCAGGAGGGCTATGTCACTGGGATGGACTGTGAGACAGTGTGCTGCTCCAACACTGCAACTTCATGGAGAACAATGTGATGGAGGCCAAACTCATGGGCAATGAAGCAATGGAGGCTGCAGTCAAGGAGCATTCAATGGACAGGGCTGGGCTAGATCTCAACAAGCCAGCCTTCTCTCCTACAGCAGGCTGTTTCAGGGATGATGAATCATTCCTCATCATTGCCCAAGAGCCACCCCTCTGGGGCATGAGGAAGGGCAAGCACTTCTACCATTGTTTTGTCCTTGTGACACTTTACAAGGACTGCTATGCCATTGGCCAGGACCAGCTCTACAACGAGGTCAAGAAGTGGATCCTCTGCTCATCCAGGTCACTCCAGCACAACATCCACATTCTACATCACATCCACAAGAAATGGGCACAGACAGTCACCCATCTTGGCAACTTGACTACCTGGCATCGCCTCACAGCCAAGCTCAACCTCACTGGACCAGTTGAAGGTGGCTGCCTGTGGATGGACTCATTCAACATCCAGCTCAGTGGTGTCACTTGCATCTTGAAGAAGGACCTGGCCTGGAGCTACAAGCTAAATTCTCCTGGCCAGCATTTCATGGTGCTGCTCAATGCACATGGCCAGTTCCAGGCCTTGTGGGGTGGGTACTCACCCAAGATCTTTGATGGGGACTTCCTCAAGATTCAGCAATAGTTCATTGAGACCAAGCTCAAAGTAGCTGTTATCCTTGCCAACAACCACTTCTCCTACAGCCAAATGGTGTCAAATTCATCATGACCCTCTCAGTTTCCACCCAACCCCTTCATCCTTTGGGTCATAGTAGTGGTGGTGTTGCATTGAAGGAGGACCGCAAAGTTTGTACACAAAATAGGAAAGCAGAAGATGGTGATGCAAGGAAGATGAAGAGGGAGAGGAGAGGAGAAAGAAGGTGAACGACGATGATAGGGGGAGAGGGAAGGGTAAGGTGCTCAGTAGGCGGGCGGGCCGTGGTGGGCGTAGTGGGCGCCACCTCCCATGCCGCCGCCGCCACCCATTGCTCCACCCATTGCTCCGCCGCCACCCATTGCTCCGCCCATCCCGCCGCCGCCGCCGCCTCTGCCCTGGGACTTGAAGGAGACCTGCAGGGTCTTGTTGGGCGTGATCTGGTAGCCGTTGAGGGCCATAATGGCTTGCTGCGCGTCCTCCATCTTCATGAAGTTGACGAACCCATAACCCTGTAGCGTGTGCGTGTGTGCGTGTGCGGTCGAGTGCGTGTCATGCCGTGCCGTGTCGTTGATGCAAGGGTGAGTGGAATGATGATGAATGCTAAAACCAATGCATGATAGAAGGACGCACCTTGCAGGTGCCGGTGGCGAGGTCTCGCACGAGCTTCACGTTGAAGAGGGCGCCGTAGGGACTGAACAGCCGGTAGAGGTAGTTGTCGTCGGAGCTGGGCGGGAGGTTGTACACGAACAGGCAGTACTGCTGCGTGGCGGCGGGCGGGCCGCCCATCGGGGGCGGCGGTGCGGCGGCTGCGGCGTAGGCGGGCGCGTGGCTCGGCGCAGCAGCGTAGGCGCCGCCGTAGGCCCCGTAGCCGTAGGGGTCCACCGCGGCAGGCGCAGCGTGCGCTCGTGGGTCGTGCGCGTAGCCGTAGTCGTGACCGTAGGCCGGGGCCGCATAGTGTTGTCCTGCGTGTTACATTCGAATGAGTGTCGTGTGCGGTTGCGCGTGTGCGGTCGTGTGTGTGTGTGTGTGTGTACCGGAGGAGGCGCCGTAGGGTGAGTATCTGGCGCCGCCGTAGCCAGTGTAGCCACCATAGGCGCCGTAGGCCGGGCCGGCGGCGGCGGCTCCCTTGGCGGGCGCGGCGTAGCCCATGCCCATCTGCTGTCGCTTCTTCATGGCCTTGTCCTCCACGGTGTCGGCAAACTTGACGCCGATCGGCTGCTGCATGCCCTCGGGCTGTGCGCCGTTGAGTGCCGCGATGGCCGCCTCGGCCTGCCCCCGCGTGTCAAACCGCACGAAGCCCACTCCGCGGCTCTGGCCCGTGACTTGGTCTGTGTGTCGTGCGCGTGCGCGGAGTGTGTGTGAGTGTGTGTGTGTGTGTCTCATGTGTGCGTTTGTGAGGGCAAAGCGCGCGTGGTGGCATGCGTGTGAGGTAGTTACCAACGAGGATCTTGGAGTCGATGATGGTGCCGTAGGGCGCGAAGATCTCGTCCATCTTCTCCTTGGTCACGCTGGGGTCGAGCTTGCTGACATAGAGG